GAAGCAGGGCAATAACACCTTCATGTACGGGTGTTGTCATATCAATTATATATACGCTACCAGTTTTATTGTCGTTGTTTAACTGGAACTGAAACTTGTATCCAGATGATCCATGATTGTTAAGAAAAGTGCTATAATATTTTATCGTTATTTTCGAGCCAATTTGCAAAGGCAAGCTGTATTCCATAAAAAGTCTACATTAGCTGGTACCTAAGTAATAATGAATACATTCATACTACACCTGCTTTCTGCTAACGGCTTTTTTGATAATTTTGGATAATTATATAAAAATTCGTCAAATCTATCTAAAATCCCTGCCCCCCAAATTTCGTCTGAAGTACTTGCACGAGACATTTCCAAGAGAAACTTTTAAAAAGAGGAGAAAACTGTTAACGATATTTTACGTTCAGAAAAAAGATCAACCTGGTATGATGTAATCATCGGAATTTAAATCTCCGAATTTGATATTGAATTCTTGAAGATTTAACTGAATTGCCTGCAACTAACAAGTTCACGTGTAAGAAAAAATGGAATTTTGAAATTATTTTTTGTATGAAGTACAGTATATCTAATTGATCATTCTCAGCATGAGCTCGAAGTCCTCGACATCAACTATATTTAAGTAATACTGTACGTTGCGCTTCAGCTATGGATGGAAATTCTCAAATAAAACTAATGTAAAAATCTGCCTGCCAGGGCGTTTGTATTAATTACTATCCTTGAAGTTACGAAGCCCGATACAAACAACGTGTTGCATATATTTTTTTTTGTGTACACCATTCAAGGTTGGATGCATTATTTTTAGTATTATTGCCATCATTATGACCTTTCCTTTTTAAAAAAAATGCTAATGCCAATAATCAATGAATAAGATATCCTTCTCGAGCAATTTTTCGATAACCTACATAAAATGAACCTTGGGTGATTACTCCATTTGTTAACTGAATTCTCCCGAAAATGAAACTATGAATTTTCGTGAATTAAGCTCTAATTCTTTCCATTATTCACCGAGATCGAGTTCTATGTACGTAATCTTCATAATACACCCAATGCCAGCCACCAGCATTTTTTGCTCCCACTACAACATTCTGAAATGCAACATACTGTGACATTTGCAACGCTAATAGAATTCCAACACTTCTATTCAACATTTTGCACGATTTTTCTGGATCCGTTACGATCAGGATTTGTACATTAAAAATTCTTTTTAGGAGTTTACACATTCCATATTATCATTCCGATAATCATGTTTGGATCCATAACACGGGGCTCTGATAAATGCTCATGCGACTAAAATATGAACAACAATAGTTTTAATTTTTAAACTCACTTTTCTTTACAGGGCGCCCAAGATTGGAACTAGTAAGTTTGAAGTAGTTGCCATTATGATGTTTATTACGTATTTATTATCATATCTACTTTTAAGTCATGGGATCAAAAAGCAATTAGAACTTGCACATACTGCGCACCGACCATTTTAGAAAAACACCATGTATACGGTAGTGAAGATATAACCAATGCTCTAGTTAATGATAAAATTAGAGAACAGATTTCTACATAAAACTTTTGAGACAAATCTCTGGAAAAGATTTTTAGACCTTTTACTGATATTGGTGAAAAGGAAATAATATTTAAATTTATGACTCTCACATGATTTATAAAGTTATAAATAAGCTATTTATAAAATTTTATATGAAATAAATTATATAATAAATAAAAATATTATTTTGTTTATTGAAAATTATTATTTTATATTATGGTTTTATATTTTTTGCGAACGGCATTAAATGTATGGCTTAAGTTATTAATCAACACTAGTAATTATTACATGAATAATTATAACCACACGCATGGGTAGATCCTTACAAACTCTGAAAACTTAGGTGAAGAAAAAAAAATGGTAAGTAATATCTAGCTACTAGTTTGCTATTGACCGGTAAGGGTGATATTTATGATGATGTAGTTAAGGAAATCAGGTTTTTTGCTATACTGTATCTGGATAATTCTTTTTGAAGGAGAACAGGGAGTTTTTGGACTTCAGAATCACTACCCTGGAAATTTCAATTGATACATATATACAATATAAATTCCTAAAATAGATATAGCTCCTAAAATTTATATTGTATATACATATGCACCTATTGATTACAAGTATGCATCCATATATAATGCTGAAAATAAAAAAATGTACATACTTACACCTATATCATGGAATGATTGTTGTGTAATGAAATTTGCAGGAAATTCATGAAACTGTGAAAATTTACATTAATATTTTGTGGAATCAGCTTTATTTCAATATAATATATAGTATAATTATATATATACAGTATAAATAATAAATATTTTTTTAATATAATTCTTAAATTTTGTGTAATTTTATTTTGAAATTAATTAATTTTTCAATAAATAAAAATAATCTATGGAAGGAAGAGAGGAAATGGTTTGGTTATGGACGACCTGGGGATACGCTACTACTACCATATTAATACCATAGGCTGGTTACTCTTCGAGGGTTTCATCGGTTCAGGGCGCAATGCCTGTTCC